CCATCATGGCCAAGTTTACGCCTCAATGAAGTCTTCACCCACATGGTGTATTTCACCCACCACGGCACTCCCACCCACGATGGCACCTTCATCATGATGGTAGCCTTCACCCATCATAGTTGCCCTCAGTCCCCATAGCAGTGCTCACCGATCATTGCAAAGAGGTCTGAGTGGTACACAGAACTCTGCCTCTCCTCGTTCTGCTGCAGGTTGGGTCGGTAGAGGATCCGGGTCACTGTTAGCCCAAAGTAGGCACCAAAAACGTGGATGGTCATGGAACCACCTGCATCCTTCACCTAGGGGGCAAAGGCCTATCAGGCTCTGGCTTCTTCCCTCTCCCTCTTCCCAACCACACAGAGACAGAGGTCCAGGTGTCTCTGACCTTGGCTAAGCCACTTGACCTCTCGGAGACTCAGCTTTCTCATCTGCAAAGTGGGAGTAACGTTTGTCCCAGTCATGAGGATTAAGTGAGCTAACCTATCTAAAGCATTCAGAAGTGGGCCCTGGCAAAGCGCAAAGGGACAAGCACTCCTTCATGTCAATGGTGAGTCTTGCGCTTAAATTTGGCTCAGATAAGAGGCTGGAAAGCTATCACACAGGAGAAGAACTTCTGAAGCAGACTTGGGGGGGGGGTGTTGAAATTCAAAGGAACCCCCCCTGCTTCTTAACTTACCCAAAGATACTACCGACTCAGCATGTTTCACATTTCGTGAGTGGCCCCAGTGTGGACTCTCCCAGGGTGACCTCTTTCCTGCATCCCTCCCTATCCATGGGCGTCTCCAAGAGCCCACAGTCCAATGGCTGAGTTGGTTTCTCTTTATAGCAGCCCCATCAACTGAACTCACTGCCAGAGAGTCGACTCTGACCTACAGGAGAGGGTAGAAACGCCCCTCATGAGTTTCTGAGGCTGTAACTCTTTATGGGAACAAGGAGTCCCATCTTTCTCCCATGGGGAAGCTTTGAACTGCTGACCTTGCAGTTAGCAACCACTAAGCCACCAGGGCTCCTCACAGCAACCCTGTGGAACAGAGGGAAACCATCACACCAGGTTTCTGAAATGGTAAATCTCTATGGGAGCAGATAGCATCATTTCTAGCCCCATGGACCAGCTGGTGGGTTTGAACTGCTGACTTTCCAATTAGCAGCCCAACAATTAAACCCATCCAGCCTTCTGTGTGAGTCTCCAAGGCTTGTTTATTCCACTTCTTTTAGCCTCAAATCCTTGGCAAGGAGAAAGAAGGAGCTTGCTCTGTGCAGGCTCTGGGCTGAGTTTACTAAGTGGACATCTGCTTGGCAGATGTCATTACTTCCACTTTAGAGACCAGGGCACTGAACGCCTGGAGATGAAGTGACCTACCGTGTTCTGAAGGGACCCAGGCAGGCATGCTTCCTTAGCCCTTCCTTCTCTTGCTGCCCCTTGCTGCCATCTCAAGTGACCCCACTCCCCACCATCTGAGGCCAGCTCACCAGCAGCACATTGAGGAGAATGAACTCATTCACCGCGAAGAGGGTCACTTGGAAGAGCGTCATGATGAGCAGCTGGATCGGGCTGACCTTGCCGAGGACCGCCCCGAAGGCCACGCAGACAGAGCCCACGCAGAAATCTGCATTGATGAGGCTGTGGGCAGAACAGGTGGGGAGGAGGCTCCAGCAAACCCCGAACTCCAAGCCCTTGAATCTGGGCTTTAGCCAGCTGTGGATTGGGGCTTGTGATCTGTTGTCAAACATGTCCCAAACTTGGAGCCTGCCCTGCTGTCCATCTTTTATCTGCCATCCCAGAACCTCTACTCACTGCCTCCTCTGTCAGGAAGCCTTCACTGATTCCTCCAGCCAGATGGCATCTCTGGCCCCAGACCCATTTCTCTCATACTATATCTCCCTCTGGCTACCAGGGCCTTGCTTGGGTTTGGGCTATTGAGCTTCATCTTAGCCAGGAGGATCTGGCTAAGATCTATGTCCCAGGAAGAGAGAGAGGGGCTTCCTACAGATTGTAGGGAGCCGATAGAGGGAAGGGCAAAGACCAGCATCTGGGCCACCACTCAGAAATCTTGGAGCTTGCTCTGTGAAGCCCTCCTACAGAAACCTTGGACCCAGGACCCCCAACCCAGCCCAGCAGAGGGTGGTGGAGAGGAGACTGTGTGGCTGAGGTAGATCCTGGTCCCATGGACCCACCCACTTTCCCTACCACCAGGCCACCAGGAAAGCTGCCCTGCTGGATTTCAGAGGTGGACATGAGCCTGAGAGTTCATGGGGGCCGGGTTAGGGACAGCTGGGGAGTCCCACCCAGTGCTCTCTCCACATCTAGCCTCCAGAGCCTGGCTCTCCCACCCAGGTCCCATGGACCATTGTCTGTCTCTGGGCCCCAAACAGAAAGCCAAACCTGTTACCTTAAGTCGGTTCTGACTCCTAGAGGCTCGATGGGAGAGTCAAACTGCCCCCATGGGATTGCCAACCTTGTAAGATTTATGGAAACAGATGGCCACATCTTTATCCTGCAAGGTGGTGACTGGTTGGTTTGGACCTCTGACTTTTTGGTTCGCAGCTCAGCACTTAACCACCGCACTACCGGGGTTTCTTTCACAGCACACCAAACCCACTGCCATCAAGTCGATTGCCATGCATGGTGACACTCTAGGACAGAGTCAAACGACTCCTTTGGGTTTCCTGGCCTGTAAATCCTTACAGGAGTAGACAGCTTCATCATTTTCCCCGAGGAGCAGCTGGTGGGTTTGAACCTTGCAGTGAGCAGCCCAACATTTAACCACTAAGCCACCACCAACCAAAAATCAAACGCACTGCCAGAGAGTCAGTGCTGACTCACAGTGACCTGGCAGGACCACGGTAGAACTGCCTCTTTGGGTTTCTGAGATGGTAACTCTTGACGGGAGTAGAAACCCAGTCTTCCTCCCAAGGAGCGGCAGGTGGTTTTGAAATGCTGACCTTGCAGTTAGCAGCCCAATGCAAATCACTATGCCACTAGGCTACACCACCGCAGCACAGGGCAATTTTGATGAGGGCCTGGGCTCAGTCACCAGAGAGAAACCTCGGGTCCCTCCAGCTTCTGTCAAAGGGGTGGGAGACCCTCCGAGAACCTGGATACCACTGACAAATGTGTGTGTGTGTGTGTGTGTGTGTGTGTGTGTGTGTGTGTTGGATGGTGGGCACTGGCTTGGAGCTCTGGGTCCTCCGGGCCCACTGGGTCGGAGCAAACCTCACCTCTCCAAGCCTAGGTAGATGTAGCCATTCTGGTAGTTGTGGAGCCAGCCCTGCATGAGCAGTGCCCACTGGATGCCGAAGGCGGCCAGCAGGAAATTGAAGCCCACTGCGCTGAAGCCGTAGCGCTGCAGGAAGGTCATTAGGAAGCCGAAGCCCACGAAGATCATCACATGCACGTCCTGGAAGCCTGTGGGGTGGGAGCAGCCGAAATCTCAGTGGTCAGGCAAAAACCAAACCAGATTCACTGCCACCGAGTCGATGCCATCTCAGGGCGACGTTACAGGGCAGGGTAGACCTGCCACTGTGCAGTTTTCTATGAGAGTATAAGGCCCATTGTTTCCTGCAGAGCGGATCACTGGCCAACTAGTAACCACTATGCCACCAAGGCTCTCCCCAGTGGTCAAGCAGAGGCAGCCTTTTCTGCCTTGGTCAGACCCAGGACACCCCTTACTATCCCTGCCCCTGACTCATAACCCCACCTTGCCCTTCTGTCTCGCTTTCATCCCCGGTGATGCAAGGTTTACAGCCACCACCATCAGTCTCTTCTCAGGCTGGCCTCTGGGACAGCGGTGATGTGCTGCGGGGGTGGGAAGCTGGCGCACATCCACTTGAGAGACCATTGCTGGAGAGGGCCACATCCTTGAAAGATGGCAACCCACCCTCCTGGGTGGAGGAGGACTCTGCTCATGCAGGACAGAGGGGCCTTTGAAATTGGGCGCAGGCCACGAGTTTTACTCAGGGTCGAGAGTCCAGAACTGGGCCATGGCACCTTGCCCTCTCCACTTCATCCCCACCCTATTCTTCTACTTTGAAGAAGCAAGACTCATCTGGCCAAGGAGCCCTTTGGTGTGACCAACCACACTGGATGACCACCCCCAGGGACGTGCCCCACCCTCACACACACAAAGCAGCTACCCTTTCCAGCATCCCTGCATCCAAGAATCAGACCCTGCTCCTTGGCCTACTGGGCACAGGACTCTGGTGAGATCAGCTAACTTCCTAGGTCTCAGAGCTGCTCTAATGCTCCCTTCTCAAATGCTGGAGAACTTCAATGACGCTGTTAAGCAAACAAGCAAATGCGGGCAATTGTCAGGGAGTTGGCTCTGCCCCGTGGTGACCCCCGTGTCGGTCAGAGTGGAAATGCGCTCTACTGCGCTTCCACTGGCTGATGGTCTGCGGCCCACTCACATCTTCTGAGGCACCACTCGGTGGACCCAAACCTCTGATGTCGTGGTCAGTGCCACGTGAGCTAACAGGGACTGCTCACAGTGGGCTGGCTTTGTAACTTACTGTTACTTACCCATAGCTATGTCCTAGTTCTGGGCTAGGACCCAATCAATGCCTCTATTAGCTCTTGGTGTGGCCTTTGCAAGCAATGTCCCCTCCCAGAGCTTTATTTTTATTGATAATGAAACAAAGGGGCTGGGCTAGAGTGATCTTAACTATTCTCCTCGGACTAACATTGCATAGTTCTAAAATCTGGGAAAACAGCAGAAAGGAGAGGGCTTTGAGAAGCAGGAAGAGTTACACTAAGCAACTGCAGCTGTCACAGGACCAGGGGCCAGATCAAAGGCTCCCCCGGGGCAAACCTGGGACAATGTGAGCACCAGGATAATTATGTGCTGTAATGAATTAAAATCAATCTAGGGCTGGGGGAGAAACTCGTGAATCCGTATAGATAATAATGATAAGCAGACAAGTGAATAAATGAAGTGGCAACGAGGGCTCTTGCTCACAGGAGAAGGCTGACGGCCCCACAGGTGAATGTGGAGAGAGTCCTGGGGTTGAAAACTCGTCATGTTGCAATCATCACAGTAAAGGTGGGATTCAAAGCCACCTGCTGTGAGCTGACTCTCCAGCTCCTGGAGACCCCATGTGAGTCAGAGGAGAGCTGTGCCCCATAAGGGTTTCAGGGCTAATTTTTTAAAGATGGCCACAGGCTTTTCTTCCATGGCATGTGAGTGGAGTCCAATTGCCAGCCTTTGGGTTTGTTGTGGACCATTTAGCTGTTCACTGCAGCCGGGGTA